TTAGCCTTCAAAAAGCGAACGAATATATGGATCCACCCAATATATTAAGTATATATGACGCATGCAAACTATCATATATTTTCGGAGTCCATTTCACAGCTTGTCCTAAGGAGTTAGCTGTCTAGTAGTATATATAGAAGTCTGTAGTTTAGGAGCAGCCGCCATTTTGGACTACTGTGCATCCTCGGGAACGGAAGACCTTATATTCTTTGGTCTGTTTTCTGCTCCTATACTAGACTGTTCTAGAACTCTCTTTCTCGCTTTAAATAAATATCAAACTGTGGAGACACATTCACACTTCCGCACACACACACGCACGCACGCACCTATTCTCATACTCTTTCAGTTATATACTTCATGTCTTATACTCGGTTAGACATACATACTCCGCGACCAGATGGCGCGCTCCCACGAACACGATACTGAATTTCTCATCTAGATATTGTCTTCGCTTAGTTCTTTAACCGACCAGAAACACGACATATTTCGAATTATATTGTTGCGATGAGATATTGTATGCTAATAAATACACGTTATTACTTGTGAATCTGGTGCCATCCATTACCTACATTTATTATATGTAGCATCTCGCTACAAAACGTATATCTATCTCACTTTATGTTCCAAAAGTGTACACTAGTTCAGCCACAGAAAACTGACCTCTTAGCCGGTATTCATAGTCGATTCTTATTTCAAGACTGATTTCTTAAGACCATACTTAAGACCGTACTTAAGACAGTCTTGAATATAAGATCTGACTATGAATACCGGCTTTATATTATGATTTTGACCACACTTTTCAAAGCCTAGTTTAGCCTCCTATTCTCTATACTCCATGGTTTCGGAATTGTTTAGAGTGCGAACGATTTGAGACTTGAGACGATTCGGATCAATAGCTACGTAAGCTACATTGTGCTACATTGCATTCAGCAAAACAACAGTTTTGCTACCATCTTGTGATTATCCGCTGAGATAAAATTATTCTTCTGGATAAAAAATCTATAATCCAATCAGCGCGAAGAAACGTCCCACAGTTGCAAAATAAATGTTCTACTGAAGCGATTGTATTACGTTTTTAATTACCGTAATCG